ATTCATGCTAGAATTGTATTAACCGGAAACATAATACTTGTGTGAATACATAGACAAACAGAGTGTCACTAGTATGCCTCTACTTGACTAGCTCGTTGATCAAAGATGGTTATGTTTCCTAGCCATAGACATGACTTGTCATTTGATTAACGGGATCACATCATTAGGAGAATGATGTGATTGACTTGACCCATTCCGTTAGCTTAGCACACGATCATTTAGTATGTTGCTATTGCTTTCTTCATGACTTATACATGTTCCTATGACTATGAGATTATGCAACTCCCGTTTACTAGAGGAACACTTTGTGTGCCACCAAACGTCACAACGTAACTGGGTGATTATAAAGGTGCTCTACAGGTGTCTCCGAAGGTACTTGTTGGGTTGGCGTATTTCGAGATTAGGATTTGTCACTCCGATTGTCGGTGAGGTATCTCTGGGCCCTCTTGGTAATGCACATCACTTAAGCCTTGCAAGCATTGCAACTAATGAGTTAGTTGCGGGATGATGTATTACAAAACGAGTAAAGAGACTTGCCCGTAACGAGATTGAACTAGGTATTAAGATACCGACGATCAAATCTCGGGCAAGTAACATACCGATGACAAAGGGAACAACGTATGTTGTTATGCGGTCTGACCGATAAAGATCTTCGTAGAATATGTATGAGCCAATATGAGCATCCAGGTTCCGCTATTGGTTATTGACCTGAGACGTGTCTCGATCACGTCTACATTGTTCTCGAACCCGTAGGGTCCACACGCTTAACGTTACGATGATAGTTTCATTATGAGTTTATATGTTTTGATGTACCGAAGGCTGTTCGGAGTCCCATATGTGATCACGGACGTGACGAGGAGTCTCGAAATGGCTGAGACATGAAGATTGATATATTGGAAGCCTATGTTTGGACATCGGAAGTGTTCCGGGTGAAATCGGCATTTTACCAGAGTACCGGGAGGTTACTGGAACCCCCCGGTAACCTAATGGGCCTTAATGGGCCTAGTGGAGGAAGAGGAGAGGAGGCCAAGGGGCAGCCGCGCGCCCCTCCCCCCCAAGTCCGAATTGGACAAGGAAGGGGGCGGCGCCCCCCCTTTCCTTTCCCCTCTCTCTCTCCTTCCCCCCAAGTCCTAGTCCAACATGGAAAAGGGGGGAGTCCTACTCCCGGTAGGAGTAGGACTCCTGCTGCCGCGCCCCTTGCCTGGCCGCACCTCCTCCTCCTTGCTCCTTTATATATGGGGGCAGGGGCACCCCATAGACACAACAATTGATCATTGATCTCTTAGCCGTGTGCGGTGCCCCCCTCCACCATAATCCTCGATAATATTGTAGCGGTGCTTAGGCGAAGCCCTGCGACGGTAGAACATCAAGATCGTCACCACGCCGTCGTGCTGACGAAACTCTTCCCCGACATTCTGCTGGATCGGAGTCCGGGGATCGTCATCGAGCTGAACGTGTGCTAGAACTCGGAGGTGTCGTAGTTTCGGTGCTTGATCGGTCGGGCCGTGAAGACGTACAACTACATCAACCGCGTTGTTATAACGCTTCCGCTTTTGGTCTACGAGGGTACGTGGACAACACTCTCCCCTCTTGTTGCTATGCATCACCATGATCTTGCGTGTGCGTAGGAATTTTTTTGAAATTACTACGTTCCCCAACAGATCTCGGGTAGGGGGTCCCGAACTGTGTGTCTAAGGATCGAAGGTAACAGGAGGCAGGGGACACGATGTTTACCCAGGTTCGGGCCCTCATGATGGAGGTAAAACCCTACATCTTGCTTGATTGACTTTGATGATTATATGGGTTACAAGAGTTGATCTACCATGAGATCGTAATAGCTAAAACCTAGATGTCTAGCTTGTATGATTATGACTGCCTCTACGGACTAAACCCTCCAGTTTATATAGATACCGGAAGGGGGCTAGGGTTTGTACAAAGTCGGTTTACAGAGAAAGGAATCTTCATATCCGAACGCCAAGTTTTCCTTCCACGCCAAGGAGAGTCCCATCCGGACACAGGGGAATCCTTCTATCTTGTATCTTCACGGCCCACCAGTCCGGCCCACGTCACATAGCCCGGACGCCCGGGACCCCCTAATCCATGACTCCCTCACTTACTGAAGTTGAGCAAAAGTGCAGAAAAGGATTTTAGTCATTAAACCGAAGTAGAGCCTCTTCAGCAAGGGAACATACAAATTTTAAGTTTTCTATAACCTGCTCCGGATGTTGTAGAGTTAAGTTTGTAAACTTTGCGAAACATTTGTTCCAACTTTTCTTTTTGTATAGTCTAATTGTATCAGGTCATTTACTATGTGCAGTTTTGCTTTTGCCAATGCTGATCACGTGTAACGTCCTTCTCTCTGTGCTATGAAGCATGTACCTACTTATTGAATTCTTAGGATCCTTTTTAGTTGCTAAACTTACATCATCCTATCAACAATTTAGTGATTATTCAGAAGGGAAGCTGCATATTCCTAGATGCACCGGATCGAAATCAGTCTCTTTGTTTATTTACCAACAGTTATCTGTGCGCTCTTAGTTGTTCATGCCTTTGATTATCTGTTTTACATTTTGATTATTTTATCAGCCGATCTAATTATCCACTTTATACTGCAGTGGGTGGCATTGCAGATGAATCCTTCATGCTAATCAGCAGTGAGCTCCATCTTCATCATGTACATGTTGTTTGCTTTGGCATGGTCTTGCCACTGTTACAACTCTCTAAGCTTGTTTTCTGTTCTTTCCAGTGCCATCCACAGTTCAAATGATTTGAGACAAAGAAAATCTATAGTTCAAAAGTTGTGAATGGATTTCGTTCAAGCGGCTATCTGCAATGTTAGCTTTGAATAAGCAAGAGTGGCAAAGCAAAAGTGAAGATTTTCCAAGCCTCCTTGTTCCTTCCTTGTAATTTTCATCTGCACAGGTTTGCCATAGAAGAATCTGTATTCTTCTAAATTAGTTTGCAAATTATCGCATTAATCCCATGTTGAATATCACTTAGCTGTTGACATCCTTACATGCAATATTTCCATTGATGGAAGGGCTAGTAAGAAATAACATAACCTTTTCAGTTTGATATATGGTTTTCTCAAATAACATGATAAAATAACAGCAAAAACTATCATTTGCAAGCTGTATCATATTTGTATGATCTATGTTTTGGGAAACCGGCAAATAGATGGACATCTTTTCCTAAAATCAATTTCTATTTTTCATGCATTGATATATTTATGAAAACTCCAATTATATTACCATACAAATAGACGGACACGGCAACGCGTGCCCATCATGATCTAGTCATACATGACATGCGATCATGGTTAGTGTTGCTCATGACATAATGCAATAAACTACCATAGCTTATGAAATACAAACTCGTACTAGGGCTTACATAACTGGTGACTAGCCGATGAGGTGAACCCGTTGATAGTACACGCCGCGGGGTACTACTCAAGCTCGTGCTCTATGTCATGAGTCTCTCCCTCACTAGGGGCAGACGACTCACTAGCTACCTCTGGAATAGGTGCAAATTGGTGACTGACTAGAAGACTCTCCCTCAGCAATTCGGCGGGAACGCATGACATGGTGTCATGGGGTGGAGGGCCTAGTAAGTGTTGAGGTAGACACCACAATCACTCTGGGCCTAAGCACGAACACGGCTCGGGGCTTTCTTGTGTGACATGTTAGACTGTCCTGCTGTCCATGCGGGAGTGAGCTAACGAGAGAGCCAAACTGTGGGGCTAACTCCGCCTTAGGTGGGGGGTGGAGAAATCAGAGGAGGACTATACCGTGAGAAGGGTCGTGCAAACACCGGTGCTACAAAGGATTCCCTAACGCGAGATAACTCGACAACCATGTGAGTTATAAGGATGTGCTTGGCGATCATATACCAGGAAAGATGTATCACGACCAAATCGTGCTCGCGCTCTGGTGGTGGGAAAACAACTCTCCCAGCGATAGGAGAGATAGTGCCAACATAAGGGTTTTTCGCCCCTCACGCTGCTGGAGCAACAGGTGGAGAGAGGATACCCGCGGGGCTGGTCACCAAGAGTGATTGGCGTTGAAACGTGCCAAAGTGAGAGAGGGAAGGGAAGGAGGAATGGAGGGGGAGATGTGCCATGCATACCTTTTTTTAGCCATGAAGTATACACAAGCCAATGTCGACCCCGTGTCATCCATTTGCTGTTTTGCGGCAATGCACGGATATCCAACTATTATATATGATGTTCAAGTTTTTCTACATCATATAATGTGTAGGTTTACCTCAGGTCAAAATTATTCATTTTTTTGCGAACCAAGCTATGCTTGGATGGTTAGGTGGACAGTGGTATTTTCAGCCTACCAGGGTTCAAGTCCCGATACTCGCATTTATCCTGGATTTATTTCAGAATTTCCGGTGATGCACCGGTGACTTCGTATAATCTCAAGATGATATGCCGGCTCAGTCTTTCGAAGGTGCTTATAGGGTAGGATGTGTGTTGTGTATATGAGCACCTGTGTCTCTGTATTGACATTAAAAATTATATCCATTTTTTTGTTTATCTCCCCCCCCCATACTTTTAGGCCTTGTACAATGGAGGTGTTTAGAGAGGTGCTTAGGAAAATAAATCGAATTTTTCTGAAGCACCGGTACCTATTTCTACAGAAGAGACGCTTAGTTAAGCGTCTATCCTGTACAAATAAGCACCGGTGCTTAAGAAAAACCTGGTTTCTCTAAGCACCCCTAAACATCTCCCATTGTACAAGACCTTAGACGATTTGTCCGACATTTTTTGTTGAGACACATCCGACTTGGGTGGAGCAGCACGTATCGAGTTTGCCCCGTTCCGCACTCGCTGACATATGGGCCCCACCCCTTCTGAACGGGCTCCCCTTTCCACCCCCTCCATTCCACCCAGACAGCCCGACCCGCTCCTCAGCTCACCTCACGCCGTAACCTAAGCTAGGTTTTCCTCCTCCACCTCCACCGGCATCACATCGGACGCGCGGCGGCGTGCAGCCATGGCGATGGTGGCACAGGCGGGCTTCGGCCTCACCCGCGTCGTCATGCTCGTCGGCGCGGGCGTGGCCGGCTCCGTCGTCCTACGAAACGGCCGCCTCTCGGAGATCCTCACCGAGATACAGGTGCGTCCCCTGGCCACGACCTGGCAGCTACTATCCTCTATCGAAAACTACGACCCCGATCCTTCAAGAGGCAGGAAGGTGGTTCGGTTTGGATAATTTGGTTTTGATGATCCGTGTCGCGTGGCCTTGCAGGAGTTTCTGGAGAAGGGGGAGATGGGTAAGGGAGGTGGTGGTGGTGCGGACCACGGCATCAACGACGCGCTCAACGAGGTACGCGTGTTGATCTACCTACCCTTAGTCTTAGCCATGTACTGCTGATGATGTGTACTCTTGCCATTAGTTTGACACACATGCTGTCATGCATCTCCACCGGAGCCTGTACCTCAAAATTGGAAGTACATGATACGATTAAGTGTATTTTTATATGACCCTATGCCCCGGTCAGCTGGTATTACCGATGGAGTAGTATTTATGCTTGCCCTTGTGATGAATGTTTGATATCTTGGATGTGATGCCCGTGATAAAGCCTTGTTTACATGGCTTGTTGACTTCATTAGCTATGGTTTCCAGCAAATATGTGGTTGCTTTATTTTGGCAAGTAATATTTTGGTCCAGCATGAAAATGTGTTTTGATGACTTGTTGCCACTAGTCCAATAGACCGGCCCATTTCAGAATAGAAACATGTGATGATTTTCAGCAATTATTGGATTTGGTTTCCTGATATGTTGATGTCAGCTGGTATGTTTTCTACGGATTCTGTAGTCTTAATGGTCTATATGGCAATAATATGTGATACTGGTAAATCTACAGAAATGTCTTTTGCCGTAAACATTATGAAATAGCTTCACTAAAATTCACAGCATCCGTAGAGACAAATCTGGTAACTCCGAAGCCTGAGGCTCACAATTTGCTTTGCTAGATTATTTCCTATTATTCTTGTGAGTTCCTCTTTAGTAATGTGGCCTTTGCATTCTTTTCTCTCTCTTTTTTTTGTTCTTCAACTGTGGATGCCTTGTCCTGATAGTTCGTTAGTGTGAGAAGCTGGTATGAACTTGGGATTATTGACTTCCTTGTTGATTTAAAAGATCTTTTGCTGTGCAATTCTTCCTAGATGGACGAATCACATGATGCATTGAAAATATGTTTGCTTGAATTTTTTTACATTAACATATCCTGTTGTCCTAAAGTAAAATTTACTCTACCTAAAAAAGGTTAATGTTCTTAGACGAACATTTTAAATGGCTGATAAGAGATAATGATAGTCATTGATGAAGTTAATCTAGACTTACAACCAGTATTTCTTTTCTTTGCTAAGTACTCATCTTCGTAAGCATATAATAATTCAATCCTGTCATGCTAAACTTACACTCTGGTCCTTTTAGGTGCGCCAACTGGCTATGCAGGTACGCAATCTAGGTTCTCCACGTTCGATAACTGTTCTCAGTGGAGGTTCTGGACAAACAGGTTTGTCTAGCTTGCGACAACTTCTTTTTCTTCTTCAAGAATTGTCAACTTGATAAATTGTCAAATTTGTGTGTTTCTGACCAGGGATAGCTGCCTAACAAATGTTGGCTATACATCAGCCTGCAGTAAATATTGTACTCTCATTGTTTGTTGCTTCCGTTCGTTTCATTCATCCTAATTTACTTCTTCCTACTTCTAGACATTATTGATACGCCGAACTTCGTTATATAGTTTTCAGTTACTTTGTGTTAGGTGGATTTCTCTTGGTGGTTGTCTGGTTAAATTAGTTTTAACAGAACACGTTTTAGTAGAATATTTTGGAAAACCATTTTTTACTAATAATTAGGTTAAGAGATAAGTATGCAGAATCTTGTTTGGACTGGGAAACGTAAAACATGTTTCACCCGTGTGTACGAGATAAACTAATACTGGTTTATAGAAAACGTCTAATCATCATTTTTCTAAAAAATCGGTTTCCCAGTTTTACAGGAACCATTATTTACTTTTCCTCAGATTTGTTAGACTAACCAAACAAAGTTTCAGTTAGTTACAACCGTACACATATTTATGCAAAACCGATCTAGTAAAATCTCCTTAACCAAACAACCCCTTAGGTATTGTGTTAGCCCATGTCACTTTGTGTTGATTATACCAGCAAAATTTCCTGGCATCGTGTCAGTTGTGTGTGGTCAAACAAACTTACCGCCGTCATACATACATTGTGACAGTGTTCTTAATGTTTTTGCAGGAGTATCAGGATTAATAGTACCTGCAGCAACTGTTGGAGCACTGGGTTATGGTTATATGTGGTGGAAAGTATGTTTCTTCCCATCATGGCATTTATGCTTGTGTAATGCTCACAGTATCCTTACCTGCCAAAAGTATAGGATCTATCTGCTTTCCCCATTATTTCTACTACCATCACTTCTAAGCTACTCCCTCCGTCCCAAAATGTAAGACGTTTTTTTTGACACTATCATAGTATCAAAAAACGTCTTACATTTTGGGACGCAGGGAGTACATCTGCTCTTCTCGAAACTGCCATATTGTCTTCTTGAAGACCAATTCATTTTGAAGTGTTACTTCTTCTTCAGGGCATCTCCTTTGGGGACTTAATGTATGTCACCAAGCAAAACATGGCAAACGTTGTTTCAAGTATGACTAAACATCTGGAGCAAGTTCAGAGCTCTCTTGCTGTAAGTACATGTGGTGCCCGTAGTTCCGCACTGCAAAACACCTGTTTCCGTAAGATTTAAAATAACATCTGTTTCCATTCATTCCGAGGAGACGTAGTTAAATGTAGGTATTAGATGATTCTAATATGTATTATGCTGCTAGGATTATGAGTTTTGTAGCTTCTATTGTTTACAAACTAGTACTGCCGTGCAGAAATTCAGTCGACGGCCTAACTTGTTAGGGCATTGTTGTGTTGATAATGTTGTCTTGTTACCCACAGAAAGGGCAGTTGTTCACATGACATCCTCTATTAGTTTAACCAACTATTGTTGTGTGCAGAAAGAACAGTTATTTGATTGGTCCTCGGTCTTAATTTCCTTAACCATTTGGACCAGCAATCTTAATTTTGCTTGATGTTTAAACTGATATTCGTTTGAGGCTGTTGAAGATGAACTGGGAGTTTTCTTCCAAATTGTTGGCTCTGTACTGTGCCATTTGGTTTGATTGTCATATAGGAGGTTATTTCTGTAGTTTTGTATCATATTATCTAATATTTGAATTAATTTGATAATTACGCAGGCTGCTAAAAAGCATTTGACACAACGCATTGAGAAGTTGGATGACAAATTGGATCAGCAGAAGGCGCTTTCTGGGCAAATAAAAGATGATGTACTTTCTCCTTAACACCTTCATATGTATGATGTATCTGCATATCTATGTTTATTGGAATGCGTATGCGTTAGGTAGAAAGTTTAAAGTAGCATATATGACAAGATTAGGTGCAATAACTTGCTGTCTATATAATCTGTCAAGAGATGATTTTTTTTCTCTATTAACTTTGTTATTAAGTGTGCATGGGGTGCATATGGTTTTCAGATATATACTTTTCTGTTCAGGTTACTGGCGCACGACTGAAGCTTGAGAATATTGGTTCAGAGATTAAGAACATCAAAGAATTGGTCTGGGGACTGGTGAGTGTAACTCTGTTTGGCACCAGTCAGCTGGTCACATGATATGATTGTACCTCCTCTGTAACTAAATAGAAGACGTTTGCAAAAACTTCTATTTAGTTCAATTTGAACTGCAAAAATGTCTGATATTAGTTCCGGAGGTAGTAGTTTTTAAGTTTATATTAATCTGCTATTTCTCATACAGGATGAGAAGATGGATTCAATGGAAGCCAAACAGGTGGGTGTTCACTTAGAAAGGGTTCTGTTGTTATGTTGGTCCTTTTTAGTTTGCGTTGTTCAGTCCAACAAACTCTGCTGGGAATAGCATGTTTAAAGACTGAAAGATTGCTGTTCCTGTTTTGCACCTAAACGCAATTGTGTGATAAATGCCAGTCTCCTGAGTTGCACATAACCCTAAATCACTCTGCATAAGTGCACTCATGCCAATCTTAGTCCATGCGTATAAATCAGCTGGGTAGCCTGGGTTGAAGCATGCTGGGGTACTAATCTCTCGACATTTTGCACAAATTCACAATTACCGAATCACACGCCTGCCCTGAATACTCCTCCCCTCTCTAAATATTATTTTCCTAATTTATTAGTAATAAAATGGTATATTACCAAAATGTGAAGTTCTTTTCATCCTTTGAAGTTTCGATCTACCTTTATTCCTTCAGTATGGTGAGTTCCATGTACTTGATTTTTCTTCTTCTTATGGTTACAATGTTATTCAACAGAATTTTTCATGCGCTGGTGTGATGTACCTCTGCCAATTCATAGAGCAAAGTGGTGGGAAGCTCCCTGAACGCCTGGTATGATCCTAAAGCATATATGGTAGAATCGTTGCTTCTGATATGGACCTTCTGTATTATGTGTAGTTTCTCTTCATTTTTGGACCTTTATGTGTAGGCCATGCTGCACTTGTATGCTGCTTTTTGTTCATTATTCATGAGTTGCGTTTGCAGCTACTCCCTCCGTTCTAAAATAGATGACCCAACTTTGTAGGGTGGTAATACTTGCAGTGTATTATCATGCAGTTCAAGACTCTTAAGAAATGTTTTGCAGTTAAACGTAGTATATCTGTTGGTGCTTACTGACATGTGATTCTTTGTAAGCTTCAACTGTTTGTCCATTTCATTAATATTCTCCTGATTTTGTGCAGGAAGGCATTAAACCATCAGCAAAGCGATTTGAAACAATTGGCATACAGGTTAGTCATAATATTTTAGATTTGACGGTAGCCTGTTTACTTTTCTTTGCAATGTTGTCCCTTGATATAAACAAGCGCTGGGCTTTGGAGTGGTCATGAAAATTGAAATTTAAGTGTTTACAATGCTGTCCCTTTATAAAACAAGTTTTTGCAATGCCTGTCCGTCAACAAAGTTACTCCCTCCATCCCCATAATATAAGATTGCAAAACGATCTTACATTATAGGACAGAGGGAGTAGTAACAGAGATCATGCATTTTATACAAAGCTGCGCAGTGACCACAAATCACACTACAGTGGATAATTACCTCCATTTCATTTCAGGGGTTGCAACTAGCCATAGAAACAGGGAATTTTAGTGATTTCAGCAATGCTGATTCCACTGACAAGATAAGCAGGTTTGTGGACTGAACCTTATGCTGTGCAGATATGGTCTCTTTTAACTACTGGACCTGTACTGAAATAAGTATACCATATAAGCAAGTCGACAACCCGTGCCCTGTTTTGTAGGTCCAACTCGTTGAAGTCTGCCAACTAATTTTTTTCGGGGTTGGTGAGAAATGTATCCAGATTCGTTACTTAGTGGAACATTTAAAGGGAAATCCTTGCTGGATAAAATGTAAAGAGTCCCAGCCTTTTTGTTATTTGCTTGCAGGAAGTGCTGTTTGTTAAATTTGAAAATGTGTGCGAAGTAGTAGGTACTATGGAATCTAGACCAGATGTTATTCTGGCATCACTTATGCCTTGCATTTTTATGCAATACTTGCCGTAAATAAATGTACGTCACTTCAGTTTCCTTGAACCATTTCATTGATGGGTCTGTAATCGTGCTGTTTGTGCATTCCATTCTGATTTTCGTACCACGAAAAGGCTGCCGTGCCCCACTTTGGCTGATTTACCGAGCCTACGACTGTTTGGCATTCTGGTTGATCTACCTGATTTTGTTTGCTCTACCTGATTGTCTATTTTAGTGTTTGTTTGATCTGCTTCCTGGACTTTATGGCTAATTTAACTGTTAGCTTTTTTTTGAGGGTACGCAAATTGCGTACCTTAGTTTTATAGGAGAGAAATAAGACATATAACAACATCTACCACTCGCTGCGAACAACGAAGGCGACCAACTCCACACCGGTTTGTACAAAGACAACCAAACACAACAACACAGTTACGACACAAAATGCCTACCCAACACCGAGCCCCTCACTGCGTCTCAGCCGACACTGAAGACCTTTGAAGAACAACAACTCCAGCTTCCTTGGATTAGCCAGCGACGACCGTACATGGTGCCGGAGGAGAAAGATCTGGGCAGTGGTGAACATCGGAGGAGCGCATCATGGGACCTCGAGTCTCCCAGCACAATGCTCCCAATAGAGTAACAACCTCAAAGACGTTGCCAATAGAGTAACAACCTCAAAGACGTTGCCATCATGCCGATCCTACGAATCAAGGCTTTCGCCCCGGACGCAGTTGTCGATACGAGGTCGCGAGGAAAATAGCGTTGCACTCGGCGAAGCCTCCAGGAAGGTGAATGACACCCGCAGGTGTCATCAACGCCGGTCCGGCCACAACCGAAAAGGATTTTCATCCGTAGCGTTGCACATCTCCACGTCTCCAAGATCCCGGCCAGTCCTGATCAGATGCCTCGCACCGCCGCCACCACAACAACTTGTCATCGAAGCCCCCCTCACTGCCGAGGGAGCACGCCTAAAGCCATCACCTTCAACATCGACTAGGAGCCGCAGCAACCACCGAGTGGTGCAAAGCCAGATCCGCCACGGTGGCCTTCACCCGCGCCAGGGGACTGCCACCAGAATGGATCCGACCCGCACCTTCGACCACACTCCGGCACCCACACCGTCGAGGCATCGCTGCCCGCCTCACACGGCAGCAACCGAACGCCCGCTACCCGACAAGACCCTTCCTGGCAAGGCCTCGCAGCGCCGCCGCTGCCATGGCTGCGCCCGCACCGCCGCCGCCGCCAATGCACCACCTACACCCTCCATCCTGCTACGCTCCATGCAAGGATTCGGAGACAACCGCCGCACCCCCTGCCGTGAGCACTCCAAGAACGTCGGCCAACGCCTAATTAAGACGCACCAGATCCGGGCCGAGATCCCCGGATCCGCGCTCCGGGCACCGCCAGCCAGCACCACCGACACGCCGCTAGCCAGCCACCAGCCCTAGCTCCGCCAGCTCCCGGAGGGTAGCGCCTCGCTGCCGTCCAGCCTGGAGAGCACCGCCCCGAGCCGCCCACCGACCAGCGAGAGCCACCAGCCGTGGGGCGCCAGATCCGCAACCCGCCGGCCCACGCCAGGCCACGCAACCCCTGAGCAGCACCAGCACCTCCGAGCGCCGCCGGCCGTGTGCGCCAGGACCGGTCGGACCACGCCAGGTCGCGCCCTACACAGGCCAGACGCGCGCCGCCGCCAAAACACCTGACACCAAGAGGCAGGGCGTCCCGCGCCGCCTGTACGCCTCGAGGGAAGGAGGGACCCCGCCGCCGCCGACGCGCGCACGGGCTTTGCCCGGTGGCGTCCGCTGGCAGCGGCGAGGGAGGGGAAGGGGGAGGGTGGGGGCGGCGGCGGGGGGGATTAGGTTTCCGCCCGGGCCGCTCGCGGGAGCAGCACGAGGGTCGGCTTCTTAGCTTGAGACTAAAGATTTGATGTGAATGCATGCAGACAGCGTACGCAAGGAAGTTACTACCCCTTAGAGCAACTCTTGCGGATACTCACAAATCTGATACAAGGGCTGCTTATAAATTATTTTGCGGTATTCTGATATAAGGGCTGCTTTTAAATTTTTTGCGGTACCGTGAGGCCTTCGGCAGAGCAGATCTGCTCGCAAACTTGTCCTGCAAAATTTTACGGGATGAGTTTACAGGATTTGTTCCGCGTCGAAGGCCTCGCACTACCACGAATTTTCAGGAGCTTTGCAAATTCCTGATTTTACTTGATAGAGTATATAAATCAAACTTATAAATAATCCAAATGGCAGATCACAATACAACAATGCGTTCATTACAACAAATGTTTAAATTCAAATAGTTAATACAACAACAAATGGTCCAGAAGGCAAATAATTGTTCAAGACACACATAAATACATATGACATTTATTAAAATAAAATGCAAATCTATCTCCCATAAAGTTGTCACCAATGCTCAACAAGATTATTATGGAATTGGTAGTGCGAAGCACCGTTCTCAATCTTTTGGTAGGTGTCAAGAAATGCATTGATCTCATCTGTGTCCCTGGCAGGCTTCACACGGGTACCAACATTATCATAATAAAACTTCAAGCTCAAATCTCTCTCATCCTCGATGACCATGTTGTGTAGAATTACACATGCAGTCATGATGTTTCTGAGAGATTTCTTATCCCAGAAGCGAGCATGACCTCAAACAATAGCAAACCAAGCTTGCAACAAACCACATGCCCTTGTGCTTGGGCAAAAAATGTGCGTTTCTTAGTTTTTGGGTCACTTGTCTTCACAAATGTTGACCATGGAGGATATTTTTTCTGTAAGATAATACCCCATGGTGTGGTCATATCCATCGATGGTATAGTTGCAAGCCGGAGTTTTTCCATTAGCTAGGCGAGCAAAAAGATGAGATAGTTACACATTGATAAGAGACCACGACAATTCAAAGTAGCAATGCCAAATCCACAAGTTGTGTGAAGCCACGCCTTCGAGCACAATAGTTGGTGTACATTTTTGGCTGGTGTATTGCCCCGTCCAAGCAATCGTTCTTCAACCTCCAATGCATGCAATCCACATTGCCAAGCATGCCCGGCCATCCTCTTTCTTCATTCTTTTTGTGTCCTCCTTATTTGGAGCTCGAAGATACTCCGGATCAATGTCTTTGCAAAGACCCACACACATTTGAGCATGGTATCTTCTCCAATGTGAAGATACTCATCGGTGTAGTCAGCCGGAAAACCATATACAATCACTCGCATTGCCGTCAATATTTTTTGATATGAACTAAACCCAAGCAAACCGAGGACATTCCTCCGGCAAGTGAAGAAACGACAATTTTACTCGCAAGCTTCAACTATGTGAAAAAAATATACACATTCGATCACCTACAGGAAAGATGAGCCGAATATGTCGGTACCTCGGTGAAGTAGTCTTTCATGAGCATGTTGTGGCTGAGAGCTCGGTCGCGCGGAATGCAAAGCTGGCCAACCGTTGATATGCGACACTTTCTCTTCGGGCCGGTTTCAAATTTGTTAATGATATAAAACAACACTAGGTGGCCGACATCGTCGTTCAAAATCATCTCCTCTATGTCGGAATCATGTGATGAAGACGACGAAGAACTCCAAGCATCCATCTAAAAAAATAAATCCACGCCTAAGATTTTTCTAAAATATCGCCGCACCTAAGATTAAAACAATAAATGGGCTTCAAATTACATTCCCCAGAAGCAATTCCGCCGGCCAGAATGAAGGCAGTCCCGCCTTTCTTCTCCGTTGCTGACCGAAGCAAAACGACCGACCTCTTCACCACAACCACAAACCCGCGGCGCCAGCGAGCAGGGCTACACCCCGGGTGATTCCGCGGCTCACCAATGTCCAGACCAACCGGATCCGCCCACTACGAAGCCGCGCGGCAAGCTCCGGGGCAGATCCATGGCGGCGGCCGCCGCTAGCCCACGGGAAAAAATGGGCACCCTGGCCTCCGAAATTGGTGGGGAAGGTACGGCAGGGAGCGGTGGAGCTACTCGATAGCGCGGGGCGGCCGAGGCAGCAAGTGATGGTGGGTAGATGTGGCAGCGGTGGAGGTGTCCTCGCGGGCGCAAGTTGGAATTTCCTTCACGCCAAGGAGTGGGTGGGATAGAGGAACCAACAAAAAGAGGGTGAAAACCGTAGATATGGCAGACGCGGCTCGAAGTTTACAATACCTTACAAAAAAAATTAGATGACAACCGAATATAGTGGATCTGTTTTGTGCCAAAAAATGATCCCAGTCTTATAGCGAACGACTGTTTTAACGAGTCTGCTAGAGTTACTCTTAAGGCCATCCACTATATGAAGCGGCGTAAAATTGAAATTCAATTCGTCTTTTGGGAGCATATGCTCCTACACACTATTTTTTTGTTTGTAAATGTTATTTTTTTTTAAAAAAATTGAGTGTTCATTGTCACATCCAAATGCTAACTGCAAATTTTTAGGGGGGAAACCTTAAGCATTTTGACTTGCAAAAAAAACAACTCGAACACCAATGTTATCTCTACATTTTACATTTATTTTTGTTTTTCACTGACAAAGCATTGCTATATCGTTTCACATGAAAATTATCAAGCATGCTTACTACACTAATAAGAACATCTACTAAAAAGATCAGAGTTTTTAAAATTTATTTACTATTATTTTGAGTTTATTGTTCATCAGGGAGCACGTGCACCCAGAGACAAAAACGTGCACCCTGCAGCCTTGCTTATAGGCCGCTTACTTGTTAATTTCGCCTATGCGGAGGGAGAGCATGAAAACGCGAGAGGGAAGTGAGCTCTCATGCAAGAGCCTAACTATTTGCCTGCTCCTAAGCAGATACAAGAAAGAGATAGAGAGAAGGTGGAAAAGAAATACTACTCTTGTAGCTAATCTTATAGCCAACCTTATTGTATAAGTGATTATAAATGATGATTATATATACTTCCTCCATCCCAAAATTCTTGTTTTAGATTAGTCTAGATACGGATGTATCTAAACTAAAACGTGACTTAGAGCAACTCCAAAGGGCCGGCCCATTTCGTCCGCCTGCGTCCGTTTGGGTCTGCGCGGACAAAAGTGGCGGCCCAACGCGACGACCCAAATCCAAATCACGTCCGCGTTGCATCCGTGCCGACGCATTTGCGGCCCAAATTTGCGCCCCAAATGCGTTGGCGCGGACGCCGAACGGACGCTTCGCGCGCCTTCCCGCTGTCTGCCGCGTCTCCACATGGCGGCCGTCCAACTACCCGCTGCCCATGCGGTCAGTTTAATTTACGACGACGGGCCCACGCGTCAGCGATGGCGCTCGTCCTTTTTTAAGCCGACCGTGCGGTGGGGCCGTCCTCATCCAAACTCGCCGTCCACATCTGCCATCCTTTGCTCCCTCGTCGCCAACAAACCCTAGCCACCACAACCACAGCGAGATGGGTCTCTGGCGCCAGCGGCAGCAAGGCCAAGGGCAAGTCTCTCGCCACCCCTTTCCCCTCAGAGTTCCTCCCGCCTTCGCCGGCGCCGGCGCCTCGCCGGTAGAGGCAGCGCGTGAGCGTGCCAGTGCACCAGACGGAGTGGCACTGGCAGCACCGCCAGCCTCTGTCGTATCCCGACGTAACGCTGCCGCACGACTGGCATCTGGATCCAGATAGGATCCTAGTGCCGACGGCGCCGCGGTCGGCTCGTGCTCACGCAGAGGAGGTGCGGCGCCGGCGGGCGCTGCTGACGCCGGAGCAGCGCCGCAAGGCCGCCTACGCAACCGACTCGCCCAACTGGGCGAGGTGGTTCGCCTTCGAGCACGAGGAGGCGAGGCGACGGGGCGTGCGCGAGGTCGACCGGGGGTCGTAGCCACCGGCGCTCGTCGTCCGCGAGGAGGACCAAGCGGCGGAGGACGCCTACCAGGCGGCACTTGCGTCCGTCTTCCGGGAGAGCGAGGAGGACGGGCGGCGCAGGGTGAAGGAGGCGGAGGCGAAAGAGGAGGCTCGGTATGAGACGGCAATGGCGCAGGCCCTTGCCCTCTCCGCGGCGGGCGACGGCGTGGTGCCGTCAGTGGCCCCGCCGTCCCCCATCAAGCCGGAGCCGTCCCCCATCGAGCGCTACTCCTGGACGGGAGTAGTGCGCGAGTGGGTACCCGCGCCGCCGGTCTGGACGGGAGCGACGCCGGCGCAGGAGCAGACGTACCTCGAGCACTGGCGCAAGATCAGGGTGGCCGAGGAGCGCCGCGACGGCGAGTACCTCAAGATGCTCGAGCGCGACCTGGAGGAGGAGCAGCGCGAGGCCGAGGAGGAGGCGCGCCAGGCCGCTGCTGCACAGGCGGCCGCACAACCCCCCGCGCCGGCACAGCCCGACATGACGGCGCTCTGGAACACGGCGTTCGCCTGGGCCGGGCCGGCGCCGATGCTCATCGACTTCACGGACCCCGAGGACGACGACGAGGACGCCTAGGGCAACGCGCCGCCTCGTAGTTTAGACTGTTTTTATTTTTTTTAAATGCAAATGTGGACGCGTGGACTCTCACCGGCCTTTGTGGCCGGCTTTAATGTTTAATTAATGTTGTTTATATTTTTAAATATGCATGCGTTCATTTTTTTTTCGCAGTCAAAAATGGGTTCAACCCAGCGTTAGACACACACGCCGACCCAAATGCGGAAGCGTACATCCGTGTTCGTCTGGCCGACCCGAACGGACAAAAAAAGGACGAAATCGTCATTCGTTTGGGTCGGCGAAGTTGCTCTTATACATTCGTATTTAAACAAATCTAAAACAAGAATTTTGAGATGGGTATATGATACTCCCTCCATTCCACAATGTAGTGCTTCCTCTATCCACGTGCTTCAACTTTGACCGTAAATTTAACTACTAAGACCGATTGCGGCGAAAGCAAAAATTATATCAATGAATTCGTATTCGAAAGAAGTTTTCAAGTACATAATTTTTTCTCACACCGCAGTTGGTCTCATTGGTTAAATTTATGATTAAAGTTAGACTTCGGAAAGTACGGGCGCACTATATTTTAAAATGGAGGGAGTACGACAACATAGTTGTTTGTACTATCAACCATGCTCTACGTGCGGACAGGTTTATACCCCATCGCAAAGAAAATCATAAAATATAGTTGTTGCTCTCCCTTGTTCATCCTCCTCCGAATATTCCACGCACCGCTTCCTGCTGCACTGGCGACCGAGCCTGCTGCCTTTGCCCACCGTCAGCCTAGTGCCCGTGTTTGTGTCGGGCGCGCACGTGGCCATATGGTCACCTGTGGTGAGCTATTGCTTTGTGCTGCTGATGTGATGTGTACTAGTATGAATTTTCTGCGATACATAACATACACACAAACAACTCACCCCTCATATATCTGAGCATACTTTATTTAGACTTTAGTGTGCCCATTGTATAAACTGCTGGTGAAGCGAAAGGCACTCCTCGAGCTGAAGAAAATTCACACATTCAGAAAACAAACCACACATAACATATAATCATTTTCAGTTGAAATTTGTAATCTTGGGACATCTGATCATACATAGAATAAGCCATGAGCATAAGATGCTCACAAATTGTCCGCAAACTACACTGGACTATCAGGTAAGGTGTTAAGGCAAGTTACATGATAATAACTAACTAATAGTTTTCCCGCGAAAAAACTAATCATATTTACCAATGCTTATAGCACAAGAGGTGCACCAATATGTAGCAGCACAAACAAGGCCCTCTGAAGTCTGAAGAACAATTCATCCACGGACAGCATGGGTTGAATTTAAAGCAATGAGCCGTGATTAAGCAATCAAACTATAAGGCTCCAGGCTCCCCTCCACTCAAGAACTTGTGGGCCCATGCCTCTAGGTACTCCTTACCCATACTCATGAAAAAACTTCGATGCACTTCAGACTCTGGCTTACAAAGATAAATCCCAACTGACAGCCTATCAGCAGGTGTCAATGGAATTTCCTTTAGCATGTTCCACAGAGGAGCATTTGGGTCTGACAGTGGTGGTGCTGTCCGTGTTGGTTTAGCGAGTCTGTCATGGATCCCCATTAAGTTCCTGTTGAACGCGTCTGGTTTCCTGCTATCATGTAGCGCAACAGCCTGTGGCTTTGGATTTGCTTTTGCTTTGCTGACTATCTTGCACTGCTTCAAGCTGGGTTTGAGAGCAGCTATTGTGCTCTCAGCCGATCCTGATGGTTCAGCAGATGGTGCACTAGTGCCTGACATAACTTCACATGGTACTGTACCAACGGCGCTAATAACTGCAACCTCATGACACTCATCTTCACCCCCCAAAACAACTTTGTCCAAGCCTGCCTCGTGTGGGTCCCCTGTGTCTGCATGAACAACCATCATGTTCAACGGATCCTGGGTTTCCATCTGATCATCATTTAAGTCAGCATCTGTCAGCAGGTCTGTCATAGAGGCACCATCAACTGGGCAATCGCTGAAGAGAGCTTGCAAATGGTCGAAGAATGGAATGGGTTTAACGAGAATAGCACGTTCTGCTAACTATACAAGAAAAATGAAAATTATCCATTAGTGCACTGGGAAAACTACAAAATATTAAATTACTTTCTAGTGATGCAATACTTACGGGTAGAGCAGCCATGGTTGCAGAAGGTAGTATTAACATTTTGTTTTTCTTGTCAAACCTGCTCCCGTTCTCGTTCATATAACGCGCCACAATATTCCAAACCTCCTTGAGACGCCTCAAATGGCGATGGACCTGATCAACAGTGTAAGCAGACTCAAATCTAGCATTTAGTGCAGCTTGGCAATAATGGTGGTGTGTCTTCTTGAATTTGGTCTTAGGTGGCATCGCCTTCTTTTTCTCAAGGTACCAATTAAGTAGAAACTTTGACATTACTGAGGGCCAATTTGTGGCTCGTGATCTTTTGGTTTTAAAGGAATTCTGATCTTCGCCTAGGTCCATGATGTGATCTGCAGGAAGTATGTAAAGCCACAGAATTAAGATGACTAAGCTACATTATTGATGTGAGGTCGATGATAAGACGTAAATCATACTTACAGTCATGTAAAAAATAGTGGAAGCCATACAAGTAACCGTAGTGCAACAAGTGGTGCAAACGTCATCAAATAAATGCATTCAGCACTGCTAAATAATACATCGCAATGAAAATAAATCGATGTTCACCCTAAACCCATCAGGCAGATACACATTAACCAGTGGCAGTTCACCTCTACTTGATCTGTTACTATAATCAATCCAGAAAGTTCTTATACTAACTTCGGTCTCTCCAAATCAATGTACTACCTATTGGCAATTCACTTCTGGCTGATCTATAAGACCATAACTAATATAATCAATCTAGGCACTATTTAGAATCTTTGGTCATCATAGGAGATGATGTCTATACTTAACAGTTATCTTACTGTGCCCAACAGAACATGGGTTACAAACTTCACTTAAGTCCTGTATGGAAAAGAGGTTCTGTGAGCAAGAAATATAAAACACCCATTCAGCGTTCAAACACCCACTTCATCTTCATGCAAAGATAATATCATTGGTGATTGGACAATTCTTGGTGGTGCAGTAGGGTTATTAAATGATGATATTCACAACCTATATATGACGACAGTATTACTAGGTTTAACTGCATATCTTATATCTGCTAAGTAGTACCACCACCTAACCACAAGTATGATGTCATCACGTTGAAAAACATTATCTCATTTTCATCAGCCATGGTATCAAGATTCACATTCAACAACTTAAGTGATCTGAGATCCATCAACGAATGCTACAGATGGCCAGTAAAAGTAAGCTCAGTTTGGCTCTTGTTACAAATACAAGTAAAGTGTATATACAAATGTATTAAATACCCATATAGGCTCAAGCAAGTGAAGATTAACAAGGCATCATGGGATGAGAGAGCTAAAAGGCACGGATACGGAGACACGGACACGGCAATACGCATACGGGGACACGGGATATGGCATTTTCCAAAAAAAGGCTACGGGGATACGGCGAGTATAGAACAAAATTTTAAAAATATGCCATGTAATCAATACCACTATATAGTGTATGAATAAGTTTGAATAATAGCCATTCGATCTGCAGCATCCGACGGCTGAGAAGTGGCAAATCCAAGCGTTATTGGCCGTTAGATCATCTCATTGGTTGTGCAGGATTTCCCCACGTGTATGGACAGTAACGTCCTGAGTGTAAGAGGTGGGAATCTCTTCTCCATTTCTCTGGAACCTCCTTTTCATGGCCACCGAACAAGGACATCAGCATACATTCCAAATGGAACTGTATATAACAATCTTCTACGCTTCCCTGTACATAACAATCTAGCAAGCTTGCTAGATCTTCACCAATTGCAGCTAAAAATGAGAGATAAAAATCATCAATCAAATGGAGCTGACAAGAATTGAACGCCAAGTTTGACAAACACGGATCATCATTTAGAAGAAGCAGAAGGTGTTAAATGGGAATGGGGAGAGGATAAGAACATGATCAGAATGGGAGTTCATCAAGCGAGCTCCATTCAAAGCATTAACAAATGGATCCATTCCTCCGTTTAGTCTCCAACAAGCAACAGAATAGCTCCAACAAGCAACGGGAGCACATGACGGGGACCAAGAGCTGCGTGCTCCCATGGAGCCTTGTGCCGTGGTGGCCGAAGCGCAAGGGAAAACAACTACGGGCGCATGGGGACGGGGTGAGAGACAGAGCTCTAGGACGCTGGAGAAGACTGGTCCATTTGGATCTTAACGGAGCCTAAGACAGTGGGGAAGTATGTAGAAGATTAGAGAAGAGATAACTGGAGAAGATATTGACTGGGCCAGTGCAGCCTGCACCCCGATTGAGCCCATACACGTAGTATAGCTGGCCTTCCGTGCCTTACTCCAAAAAACAACTAGGCTTTCGCACGAATAAATTTGTACTGGTGATAATGCTTACAGTTAAGTATTTTGTTAGGATTGCCTAAAAACGTATTTTGTCAGGATTGCCTAGAAAAAGTATTTTGTTAGGAATATAAAGAACAGACTTACTGTGAATAATGTGTGAATAATGCATGTCTTCAATTTTAGCCCATAAAAATGTACCCTAAACGTATGGAGTGAATGTTGTAGCAACATTGACCAACGCGACCACCGACCAGGTGGTAAGTGTTGATAATTGGTGTATAGGTGATCTGAACGCCATACGCATACAAGCTCCTCTTGGAGTCTGAATCCCATAGACATAGAATCCACTTCTGAACGCCGTGATTGAAAAAAATGTCGACCAACGCGACGCACTCCTGTGTCATCCAATCACACCCTGATTGTGTCATGCTGCTAGGCCATCGTACTTGTTAGGACATTCCGCCTGACATGAAGGAAGCTGGATGGGTCGCACCCGAATTGAGTCACACTTTAGTCCAATCCAAAATATAATGTTGGAGTATTACAAAAATACTATAGCTCCACATACTATTTGTTTGCTAGAATGTTAAAGAAAATGTCATGATAGTTGCGAATAATTATTACAATTTTCAATTCATATTTGCTTTTGGTTTTACCTTGGATTGTGTTTTCTTCCCTAAAAAGCACATTTCAAAGCTACATTGATTGACAATATCTTTGTTACGTGCAAAGCACGTGCAACTTGCTAGCACAGAGTTAAAGACAAAATATTAAAGAAAAACTGAGATGAGATCAGAGTACTGCCCCATTTGTTGTCTGCCTTTTCAAGTTCTCAATCATCAACAGCCTCCAGACCCATGTTATTACAACTTGCAAAATGCATCACTTAATTGGCTACCGGCTGTGGCGCAGCCAGATGCCATGCTCCCTAACAGCAAGCAGCAATCAACACTAAGCAGCAGCTAATCAAAAACATCATGCAGCAATCAAAAACCCAAACAGCAACATCATGGCTGCAAAGAGATGAAGAGACTCAAGGACTCGAGGTTAATTGCTCCAGCATGGTTGCCTTTGGGAGAAGAGGTTGCCGCCTTGCCGGGCTTGGAAAACGGCTCGACCAGGCGGCGGCGGCCAAGTCCAGGCAGTGGCGGCGGCGGCAGCGGCAGCGTGTTAGCTGGAGCCTGGACAGGTTCGAGGTCGAGCAGCCTGAAAATTTAGGGTTCGTATCAGGCCGAGCCCGTTACTCTGCATCCCGAGTCCCCAGCATGTTCCTTGCGTATCCCAGCCGTATCCCTATTTATTTCTCTTTCTTTTTAATTCAAAAATGAGGGGATACTGCAGGATATGCATATCCCAGCGTGTCCGGCCATATCGCTGTGTCCTTCCATACCAGGACACCGATTTGGCAGTTTCATACGTGTTTGTGCTTTTTAGTGAGAGAGCACTTCGAGCACATCACTATATTGCAAGATGGGTGTATGAGGCATAAGTACAAAACGATGACAATGATGAGTTTGTTTCAATTGGAGTTTTTGCTGCCCTCTTATACAAGATGTTGTGTCTCTCTTATACGCAGCAATACCATCCAATGTAAGTGACAATGACGAGTTCAGGCAGATGGTTGAGGCCATTGGTCAATTTGGCCCTGGTCTTGATCACCTACTCAATATGATCTCCGTGAGCCTTTACTGAAGGCTGAGTATGCAAAAACCAAGAGTGAACTCAAGGAAGAGAGGGGATGAGAAGATTGAAAATGGCTGCTCTCTGATGACCGATGCTTGGACTGATATGAAGAGGAGAAGCATTATGAAACTGCTCACACATTGTTCAGAAAGTGTTAGCTTCATCAAGCCGAAGGAGACAACAGCCACACCACATACAAGTGAGATGATCTTCAATCTGAATATCTGATTGACAAAATAATTGATGAATTAGGTGCTGAACAAATGGTGCAGGTTGTGACCGACAATGCTTCGAACAACATGGGGGCTAAAGATCTCCTGAAAGTGAAGAGGCCAAACATCTTTTGGAGCTCCTGTGTGCAATGTTCAAGATATCGCTAACTGGTACCATATCAGTCAGGTGCCGAGTAGGGATAAATAGGCGAATTTTCCAGTTTATCGGCCAATAATTCAGTTAAACAGCTATTCGGTGACCCACCCAGTAGCGATTAATTGACCGATATGCCGATTAACTGGCCGATATTTGGAACAATGCCTGTGTGACTCACACTGTCAATCTGATGCTCCAAGGGATTGGCACCTTGTCTAAGTTCAAGAAGATACTTGACCAAGCCAAAGCTTTCACAATATTTGTGTATGGGTACCACCACACCTTGGAATGCATGAGGCCCTTCACCAAGAAGATAAAAATCATCAGGCCAGGAGTGACCCGATTTCCTTCCCGATTTCTCACTTTGCAGATAAGGCTGATTCACTAAGGAAGATGGTGGTATCCTCGAAGTGGGACAAAACACGAAGAAAGGCAAGAATGCAACAGCAATCATTCTGAATAAGGCCATTTGGAAGGGAGTGAATCTTTGCATTAAGGTGTTCGAGCCCTTGGTGAAGGTGCTACCCTTGGTTGATGGTGATGTGTGGCCGCCCATGGGCTTTGTGTATGGAGAGATTGTGAAGTCAAAGAAGGAGACAAAAGAGGCTTTTGGCAATGTCGAGCGTCATTACAAAGATGCGCTAGCCATTGTTTACAAGAGTATGAAAGATAGGATTGATGCCCCACTGCATTTGACTGCATATTTGCTGAATCCACACTACAGCTATGCAGATGAGAGCATATTTGATACCACAAAAATGGATTGTGCAGAATGTGGAGACATTCTATAATGGAAATGAAATCACTCAAGACAAAGTTGCGAACTATGAATTACCTATGTTCCAAAACAGACCCTTTGGAAAGAAGCTAGCAAGGACTAGTCCAAATTTTGACTATAATCCTGGTTAGTCATATCACTTATTAAGCATATTTTCTTATTTGTGTTCTGAAAATAATTGTGAGAGAAACTGGAGCGAAAGGCGCTTTCAATCAACTCACAACAAAACTCTGTCAAAACCGCATCTGGTTTCATCTCATAACTTACAACTGTTAAGCGCTAGGCGTTAATTGTGTGTTTTGTCACTGCCTAGCGCATATCTCACCTAAGCACACACCTAGCATGATTAAGCGCTAGGAGTACTGTTGTCGCCTAGTGCCTAGGCATGCTTAAGCACACTTTTTTCACTGTAGGGTACAGGACAATTGGGACTGCTCCATAACAACAAAAATTGGAAAAGTACCAGTAATGACTAACGAGTAACCATCTCTACTTCCCATACGTGTTCATTTCATCATTTGTGGAAACGCATTCAAATAAACATTGTTGTCTTAACAAATGATCTTGTAACAGCTAAAAGAAAGGCCTTTTAACAAGATGTTAGGCAGCATTTAACACTGATCAGAGTACAATACTACTACGTGTTCGGTGCATGTTTAATTGTGCAGTACACAAAGATTACATGCAAATGTATTGTGTTATCCGTAAGACCGTAAGGGAAGGCTACTTCGACAGCTCAGCTAAGATTTGCATGAACAAACGGAAGTAGACCAGCAAAACCAAACCATACAACCAAGGCTCTCGTCGATCCTTTGAAAATTAAGAAGAATCGCGACTCTTCATGCCTTTCCGTAGATCAGAAAGAATCAAATCACCTGAGTCCTCGCCGCCTTCTTGGCCTCCGGACATCGACTCCGTCGCCGCCCAGCAATCCAACGATATGGAACGCTCACTGCGTGGCCTGGCGATTGATGGGGGCGCGCAGCCGGGTTGGGGGCGCGGCGGCGGAGGCGGGGTGTCTCCCGGCGGCGAGGTGCGCGCGTGGCCGCGGGATGTGACCTGCGGGTGCGAGAACGGATTTGGGGATTTTTGGGCTGCTGTGCAAGTGGGCCCCACAAGTACCAGATGTATGCCTAACAATTTTGGGTGGTTTGTAAAAAATAAATCGTTGAGGGGGAAGACATCATGACTAGCTTTATATATATTGAAACTAAATACGAATTACCTCCTCCGTCCTATATTTTTTGACACTACACGAATATTGAAAAATGTTATTGGACGGACAAGTTTTCGAGACTAGACAGGCAGAAGCCCCATTCATCCAAGTACTCAAAATTTTATTACAATAACTATAACTCGCTAGCACATGTGTCACATTATTAGAGCAACTCTAACAGACTCCGCAAAACGTCCCGACCCGCAAAATAACCGTCAAATTGCAGGTCGGGGTCAGAAAATCTGCACGACCAGACCCCGCATCCTGCGCCGGCCCGTAAATCTTTTTGCGGGGCGCAGCAAATCTTCTCCCCCAACCTCTATCTTCACGGGCTGGGAGGCCGACCCGAGCTCGACCCCTATCCGGCGCGAGATTTGGCGGGAGGGACATTTCCG